CCTCAACTTCTACAGAAATTGATGTGATTTCTATAAGTAAGCTCATGGCAAAATGTCACAGTGTAAACAAATTTGAATAAGCTTCCCTAATTGGTTATAATGAATATAATTACAATATTCCAGGAGCTATTAAGTGACAGCAGAGGGGAGGGGGAGCTGTATGAGAAATTTCAAGTCTAAGTGGACAGAACAGAGGGTTCACCTGGGGGCAGAGTAGCTTGTAACTTCCAGTGTCCTATGTTCGAACCCCTCCCTCACTAAACGTTACAACGGTTCTCCTGGCAGATTTCTGTTTTAGGAATGTACCCTAATTCTATCGTGAAGAGTTAAAGGAAAAAACAAAAATAGCCTTACAGTCCGCTGTTTAAATGCAAAGTAGAACTCTGTTCTCTAAGGGAGATGGAAGGTATGGCTCTACCACTAGCAGTGTTAATGTCTAAGCAAGCAGTGAACAATTATTAAAATTGCCTAGTCACACCGTGGGAAACTTAACACCCATCTGGTACACTTGCCACAAACCACAGAAAACACATTCAGTGCAATTTACCCTCCACTGGCCAAATCTCCAGATTGCCACATTGAGGAACAATGAGTTTCACAGTGGAGAAGCCTGCTTCAGAAATGTGGGCTCTCAGTGGCCATCTTAGTTTGAAAACAACAATGGGGAATTTTTAAAGTTTCGATTTTTGTTCAAATTGGTGTTAATGCTTTTTTTTTTCTTTGTGTCTTTTAAGTTTGCAATATTTGGACTCCAACCATGATCTGCTCTTGAGACAGAAACGTAGAAAGGAAGCTCCCAGTTAGCGCCCACGCCCGTGCTTAGCTCCCTGTTGATGAGTCCTCCTGGTGTGCCCCTCTTTGTGTGAGCCGGTCTCCGTGTCTGTCTTTATGCTCATTTCTCCATTTCCTCCTCTGCTTCCCATCAGCCTCCCAAAAAGATATGGGATTATACTCCTGGAGACTGCTCTATCCTTCCTAGAGAGGATAGAAAGGTAATGCGTGCCTCTCCGGGGGCTGTGTGTGTGCTCCTGGCCTGGTTAGTGTGAGTGTGCTGTGGGGTTTTGCTCTTATTTTCTTCAATCACTGTTTTTTTAACTTGATAACTTTTTTTTTTCTTTTTTGCTTGGTGATAAATCTATTTAACAAAGTCTCTGAGATATAGACTGCTGTATAGAGGTGTGTGTGCTTTTTAAGCAATGACTTACTCTGACATGTAGTATTCGTCAGTCACCAGACTGAAAAGAGAGACAGTAGGTATTTCCTCCCGGCAGGTGTTGTGGTATTTGTAGTTCTCTGTAGCCAGGAGAAGAGAGTTTTGAAGCTCTGATTACCGTGGGGCTTATGTTTTCCATGCCTAACGCTGCATTCTCTGTTCTCGTGGCTTTTGGTAATTTCCAGTGAGCTCTTTGTTTAATCTTGCCATCTCTGCCTTATTAAAATAGAACCCTAAGAAGATTCACTTTTCAAACTTAACCTTCCATTCTCTCTGCCTGTCGCCTAAACTAAAACCCTCTTTCTCATCTTTTCTTTCTCGTGCCAGACTAACCTAGAAACAGAGCCCAACCTCTGCCGCACAGAGTTAGAGGCAGATGTAGGAAAAACGGAGACGCTTAGTAAAGCAGCCCGTGCAGACCTGGCGCAGGTACTTCTGAGTTTTCCTCCTGCCGTCAATGCCTGTCCCAGCGCGGTTCTGTCTTCTTTGGGATGTCGCTGAGGAGGGGACTGTCTCGCTGTTATTGTGAAGCTGCATGGCTTTCTGGCTGCTGTTTTCCATCCCCTTCCCCCAACTTCAGTTTTGCTTTGGTTTCTTTGGAGCTTGGCATCTTCCTTAAAGGGGGCTTTCCAGGTATCCGTGGGGTGGCTGGTGATGTCCATGCTCCCCCTCTCCGCTGCTGTCAGGGGCGGCCCTCTTCCTTTCCTGCCTTCTCGGGGTTCTCAGGGAGCCGCGTTTGGCAGCTCTGCTGTCAGGGGCCCTCTTCCTTTCCTGCCTTCGCCTTGGAATGCCTTCTCGGGGTTCTCAGGGAGCCGCGTTTGGCAGCTGTCATTTTTGCAGCCTTGGGAGACACCGGCCTCGGAGATCATTCTCCAAAGCGTGGCAGCGATTCGAGCGCCGCTTACTAAGTGCAGGCGCTGCCAGAGCAGCCCTGCTTGTGGTTTGAAAGGTCAGAAAGTTCTCAATGAAAAAATGCACTCCAGGGGCCAGACCACTGGGCCACAGGCAAGCATTTGAAACTCGGCCTGCACTGGTATTTTTAAGTGGAGCGGTGTCAAAGCGTGGTTTATTAAAGGCTGGGTCAGGAAGAGAGGGAGTCCAAGGTAAATGGGCTCCCAGCGGAAGGAAAATACCCAGTGTTTGGAGATCTGCTCCTAGGGCTCCTTGGAGAAACAAGAAAGACCCTTGAAGGAAAGGGGATCTTTACATCAAATAGGAGAGGAATGTGGGCACTGCTCGAGGCTGGGAGGGTCCTCAGACCACGGCAGGGAGCGTGGAGGTTGTGAGTGGATCGTGTTATACTTCAGCGGAGCTAGGAAAGCAAGGAGGGTCAGACCACCAGCGTGAGTGACGAGGCACTAAAAGTCATGTGAGTGCCAGGGACGTAGCCCAGGGAAGGAGCGGAAGCTGGGGTTACAGCTGCGGCCACTGGGGGACAGGTTGGAAACAGACAGCGTGAGCCCTTGGTCCAGACAGAGGGAGCCGTGGGGACATCAGTACGTCACATAAGAAAGATGGGGAGAAAGTCGGTGCAGAGGTTAGATGAAGGATTTGGTTTTAGGTCATTTGTTTTGAATGTTGGTTGGGTATCACATAGGGGATATGCAGCTGACAGTTTGAAATGTAAGACTAGGTTCTGTGAGACGGGCAGAGGCTTACAAAGGCAGTTGCAGTCCCCTGAAGAGAGGTGATGGTTGACGTCCGGGAACAGATGAAGACACCCCACCTGGGGAAGATGAAAGATTGAAGGGAGGATCCCGTTGAAAGGATGAAAGATCCATAAGCACCTGTTGGGATGTTGGTGGCAGCAGGAGAGCAAGGGAAGGTCAGAGAGAGAGCATTCCCGAGACGTAGGAGGAAAGATGAGAGGTGGAGCGAGAGGAGCGGTCTGAGCGTGACCCAGTGCTCCAGAGAGGTCCCCACCCTCGACTCTGAGGAAAGGCCAATGGGTTTGATAATCCAGAGGTTTCTAAAAGCTTTGGAGGCTGCTGAGTGGTGGACGGGAGCTGGAGCATGTGGAGAGGAACTGGAATCCCCAGGGGTACACACTGATTAAAAATGTGATCACGGGAGGAAGGCGAGGGGCGTGTGCCCAGAGGGCTCAGCAGGTTCGGCAAACACTTTTCCACGTTGGAGACCGGGGCATCGTCCACAGAGGTGGGGAGACCCAGAACGGGGCAGAAGCCAAAGGACAGGCTCAAGGAGGAAGGGTGGGCAGGGAGACCAGTGCAGGCAAAGGGCTGGACAGACGGACAGACGGATATGCAGGTAAGAGGGCTGCCTTCTCTGAGGAGTAATGGGGAGAGAGAGGGCGGGGACCTCCTGGGGTGGAGGTGCCCTCAGAAATGCCAGGACCAGCAGGCAGAGGGCCAGGTGGCTGAGCCCCTGAGGAAGGTTACCTCCTTCCTACACAGTCCCTTTCTTTTTTCCTGGTGTTTCCTTTCCTCAAATATCTCTCCTCCAGGTAGTTTGTTTTCCTTGAAATGGTCAGTATTAGAGCTAGGAATATCTTTGAAAGTTAACTTTTTCACTGATTTATTCAACCACCACATTATTTTTAAGACCCAATATATTGAACCCTTTGCCTGTTTCTCTCCAAGATAACAGAAACCCTAAATAAACTACACAGTGTGTTGCTTTTTCTCTGCATGTAGCTCCCGATTGTTTTCCTCCTTGTGCACCGTGGTCTGTAATCTTATAAAGTGTTTCCCACTGAGGCTGAGGTGGTCATTAATAGCTTCTGTAAATCTGCATTTCTCCCCCTTTTTGCACGTCTGAGTCTGCGGGGGCAGACAAACATCTAAACCCACTGTGGTCTTTTAAAATGTGTTTTTGTGCATTCTGCACCTAATGTTTCGGGTGGCCCTCTCTCTGGATGTGGCATCTGGGGCGCATGAAGGAGTCTGCAGGGGGTTGGCAGGGGGTCGGCAGGTCGGGGCACGCTGGGGGAGGGTGTGCTCTGTCAATGCATGTTGGCCAAATGGTGGGCCTGCCCCAGAGGGCCCAGGCGGCCATCTCCTGACCCACCCAGGGAGCCTCGATGCAGCCACCGGGAGGTCAAGACCAGAGACAAAGAGGGCCCTTCCCTCGCGGCCCCGAGACCTTTCCAGCCAGGCCCCCTCCTCCCAGAGGCCCTGGCTACATTAGGAAGCGAAGGGACAGGGACGCCCCTTGGGTTGAAACATCTGAGTCAAAATAAATCATGTTCACTTTTCTTTCTTTCTCTTTTTGACATTTACAGAGCTCAGCAGTCAGCCCCACTCCGGAAATGTCTTCAGAGCCTCCTGGATAGTAAGTTGCCACCTTGTTTCTAGGCTCACTGTATGGAATGTCTAAACGGGAGAAACTTACGATTTGGACCTAAGTGTGTGTTATAGGCAGCAGTCTAGTGGCTTTGAATGATGTACAGTTTGGTGATAAGTAGCAATTCAGTTCTGGTCGTCCATTTTTTTCCTTGTTTTCTCCTCTTCCAAATGAATTTTGTGATGATTCATATTAACTTTGATAAGCTTTTTCCTGTGTTGTCATCATTACCTTTAGAACGTGAGCTTATTAGTATGCGTTTAGGATCAAAGTTCACCTCATTTGCTGATTCTTGTGGGGGGAGGTGTGACTTTGTGAGGGGTTGGGGGTGGGGTTCCGGTCCTTGGGCTGGACCTGTCACTTGGAAAGATGGGGCTGAAAGGGGGCTCACCTGTCTGTTTCTCAGAGATGTGGCTTCATTAGGGTTCTCCCTGGGTGATGGGTGCACACCTCACTCACTTGATGGCAGCCTTTCCCAAACCTCCTGCACCCTCTCCTCCAAATCATCCCAACCCATCCCCAACCCTCCTGCACCCTCTCCCAGACTTGGTCTCAGAACTTGGCCAGGCAACTGTTTTCCCAGCTGCAAATGGTTCAGTGCTGCCTGCCCCCCGCGCACACGGTAAAGTACAAGCATTCGAGCCTGTGTGAGAAGCCCTAGCTGAGTCTATCTATACCCCGTCTCAGGTTAGGACCTGTTAGGACCCCGACTTCTGCTGCTCTGCCTGAACTATGTTACTATGTTTGTATAATTCTAATCTATAATAATAAAAGCATAATATGCTAATTAGACCGGACAGCCAGACGACCTTCCGGACCACGCTGGGGCTGCGAAGGCCAAGCCCCTTGCACACATTTCGTGCATTGGGCCTCTAGTAAATTGTAAACTCCTTGAGAGTAAGGACTGCATCTCCATCATGCCAGGTGCACCCATAGGTCTGGGAGTTTGTTCTGGTGGGAGCAGCTCCTCACCTCATCACCGCTGTGTCTGTATCTTATTCTTCAAAGCATGACCAGAAGGGGAGGCACAGCTATTACCTGTTCCTTTTGGGTCGGGCAGATCCACAGTGAGACAAGCTCGCCTGTGCAGACAGAAGCCTGACTTGATCTGAACGCTGAGTTTATGGACATGTGTGACAAACCTATGGTCACTTGGGCATTTTGCAAGAGTGGTTTCATTTGAAAGTCGATTAGCTGTGATTGGAGTATTTCACTAGAAAATTGGAAAAAACCCTTCATCCTCTTAGGGTAGCGACCAAATCTCTAGCCAGATCTATTCTATTAATATTTCTTCTATAAATGTGTATATTAATGGCTATGATTAACAGACCCCAGAGTCTGAGAAGAAGTTGAAACGATGTATTAGGACAGCAGGTAGGGGGAAAGTTTCCTGTCTTAAAGGACAGCTCCGTCTTGGAGCAGGTCGGTATTGTCTCTTGCACTCACTGTTGGGTTGGTCGTCAGGCCACCGGTGTGACAGAGAGGAATCCGAGTTCAGCTATATCATCAGGCTGCCCCTGCCCCCACCTTGGGCTCTGAGGCTCACTCTGTTTTAAGGAGATAGTTGAACTATCCCTTCAGCCCAAGGATGACCAGCCGCAGGTCCTCCAGGTCCCAGAAATGAACCCACAGACGGCCTCAGGCTATCTGCAGATGAAGGGCTGCTTCAAGGCCACAGCTCCCAGCAAACTGGTCCCTCAGGTCACCCATTGGTCAGCGACAAAGCTTGTCACTTTGGCGGTCCTGACTGCCCAAAGCCTGGTTGGACCAGATCTCTCCCTGCCCCACCGTTCCCAGGATTGCATAATGTAAGCCTGCTGCCTGGTCTCCCCCTCTGCCTCCTCGCCCCATCCATCTCCCTGAAATGCACAGACAAAAAAGGCTGTTTCAGGTGGCCAGCTGAGTGAATTCCTTAGCTTCTCTGGACCAAGGCACTATGCTACGTAATAAATAGGAGCATAATTGTCCCTTAGTAGTTTTGGGGGTAAAACAAAAAAAAAAAGGAATGTTAGTAAATAAGAAGGCAAAGTGGGCCCTAGCTACTTTGGCTCAGTGGATAGAGTGTCGGCCTGTGGACTGAAGGGTCCCGGGTTCAATTTCGGTCAAGGGCACATGCCCAGGTTGCGGGCTTGGTCCCCAGTAGGGATGTGAAGGAGGCAGCCAACCAGTGATTCTCTCTCATTATTGATGTTTCTATCTCCCTCTCCCTTCCTCTCTGAAATCAATAAAAATATATTTTAAAGAAAGAAAGAAAAGTGGCACATGATTGAAGCAGACTTTAAGGATTAAGAATATTCAGAAAAAGACAGCAGTGCCCAGCCTGTCAGAGTTAGACACACGGGTCTTAAATGAAGTGGTGACTTGAACGACTTACTCAGCATTTACTATGTGCCAGGCCCTATGCTTAGCAGCTTCCGTACTTCACCTCAGTTAGTCCTTGCAACATCCCAGGACCAGGCATTCTTTTTAATCCGCATTTTACAGGTGAGGAAGCAGGAGTGTAACAGCCACGGCTCTGCAGCTGGCATGTGGTGGAGTTGTTCCTCCTCAGACCAGACTAGCAGTCACGTTCTCGGCCAGGGCACTGGTGTTGGCAGGCGCTCCCATTGCACCATACTGATAATAAACTAATAGAAAGCATCCTATAACTTACTGTCCTTCAAATGATTGAAAAAACCATTTAAGCAACTATTTGTAATATTGTGTTGGCAGGATCGGGCCTAATGCAAACTGCCGAAAAGAGCAAATTGCTGTCAGACTCTGAGGATTCATGTGCATAAAGCTATTTGATGTGTTCGTTTACCCAGCACTCTTATTTATATCATCAGAACAGGTCTTCAAAGACCTCTGTTTTTTTTTCAGCCTTACCCTAGCTCACGGGAAATATGTGGCAGGGATAGATGAGGTTTGTTTCCTCTTGCTATTCTACCATTTGTGAATTTATCAGAAATTCAGGCTTGGTTTTCTCCCAGTTTGTTCAAATGAATAAGGTTTTTCTGTTTTTGGAATTGGTGAGGAGCCAGCTTAAGTGCAGTGCCTGACGCATAGGAAAGCATCTTAATTAACAAAAATCCAACTCAGCACCAAGGCCGGAAACTTGTGGGTTGAATCTGGTTCCCTTCACCCGATGGACAGGAATGACCTGCTGAAAGAAACATTGGCAAAGACTTGACTTAACCCAAGGACTGAAGAAAGAGGAATCACAATGGCCCAGGTGCAGGACTCTGTGGTCAGTGGAGAAGTGATGGTGTTGTTTTGAATCCACTTTAATATCTTGGAGAGACTTTAGTTTCGAATTTTATTAATTAAGTTGATTACATATCACAATATTAAAAGAACCTGGGAACAGAGAGGAAAAAATTCACCCATTGTTCTAATATCCTAATAGAATCTACCAGTCCTTCCTCTCAAAAAATATATTTTTATAGTTGTGATCACAGCGTATGCCAAATTTTGTATTTTATTTCTGTGGAATTACCAGACCTATAAATCAACAGTGTATCCTACTCTTCATCATTGCTTAGCATTTTAGCATTGGTTAGTTTGAATACAGTCTTTGCCTAACCAAAGAGCTTTACTCTATTTGGCCAGCAGGTGGCACTCAAGCTGCTGCTTTCCTAAGTGGTGATGGTGCACTAGAAAAAACACCCTTTTCCCTTAATCTAACTTAAGATCAAAACACAAATCATTGCCTGGAGAACTTGATGAAATATTAGAAACTTCCAGGGCTTGAAAATGTATCATAAATCTGTGTGTGTGTAGGCATTTAATTTTATAGAATCATTTATTCCTCTAATATTTATTGAACAAAGGTGCTAGACACCAGCCGTGCAAAGGTTAATCAGTTAAACTGCCTCCCTCAAGGGAAAAACCAAGTGTAATGGGAGGCAGACTTGTAAACAACCATCAGAATCCAGTGCGGGACAGGCAGTGATGGGATCAGGAGGGAGGGAACACACCTCCGTTTCGTGGAGGAAGAAAGGTACGCTTTACAGAGGAGCCGCAAATAAAAAGTGAATAATAATAATAACAACATTATATCACAAATAGAAAAGGCAAATTTTTTTTCATGCTATGAAAGGCTAGAAGATGAACTGCCCTCCCCAAATTGTCTAGACGCCCTCTCCCATAGCCAGTTGAAAACTGTTTCTTTTTGTTTCTTCCTGAAAACACTAAATGGTTCTGAACAGTGGATTCCATGAGGCTGGAATTTTTTTGTCTGTTTTGTTCCTTATTGAATCTCTACCTAAGAGACTGATTGACATGTAGTAGGTGTCCAATAAATACTTGTTGAATAAATAAAATGAGCCATGGAATGACATGGTGAGATCTTTTCTAGAAATGTCACTGGCAGTAGTTTGCAGTGACTGGAGGGGAATGGGGTGGAGCCTGGGGGAGCAGTGGTGTGCTATTTGCACAGGTGTGGGTGAGTGGTGGGAGGTGGGGACCAGGGAGGTAGAGACGGAAGGGATTGATGTGAGCTGTGTCAGGACGGAGTAAGCAAAGCGTGCTGATTCGTGAAGTTTGCAGGGCAAGGAGAGGGAGAAGGGGTTGATTTTCTGGGCTCTCTGGCTTGGGTGATGGGAGATGGAGGAACAGAGCTGGGTTGGGTTTGGGACGTGTTGGGTTTAAGATGCCTGAGGAACATCTAAGTGGAGCTTCTAGACGGCAATTGAGTGTATGTATCTGGAGGTCAAAAGGAATGTCTTTGTAGATAAGGGATTTGAAGGTGGACTTTTTGGACAGTCTCACCACACCTAATAGTTTTATAGATAAAGGAAATTGAGGCTGAGAGAAACAGATTGTCTCCAAGTTTTTAAAATGAGCGGGTTTGCCTCCACTGATCACATTGCCTCTTGGAGTCAGGCTGGAATCCCGACCCGGCCAGTTAGCACATTGGAAACATTCGGCCCTAAAATGATTGCTCTGTTCTCTCACTTTATTTTTCGAGTGAGTTTCTGTCGAATCCCCTTAACTCAGCAGCCAGCACTGCCTCTTAGCCAGGGCGTCCGTTCTTGTCGCTGCCTCCTGCTGGCCTGCTCTTCCTCAGCCTAAAACTGGCTCCGCCCAGGCTGCAGAGCCGAGCTGCTGAGCCTGGCTTGTTTTGGTGCAGAATCGGTGACTCGGGTCTTTTTCGGCCAGACCGAGGGTACTGTTCTCACCCTCTCTGAACTGTTTGAACACAGCAAAGACCCAACAGTACTGTGACCTTTGACAGAGGCCTTCACCGCTCTGGTCCTCAGTTTCCCCTTTGTTACAATGGACAAATGGTGTCTGTCTTTCCAATGAGGAGGCCTGGGGAAGATAATTCACTTAGAAACACTGTACTGGAGCTTTTAGACATTGTTTTTAAACAAGTTGCAAAAGTGTCACACATCTGGAAAAAGTATGTCGGCTTCGGTATCAGAAAGAAAACAATTGGCCATAGCAAGTCCATCCTGAGAGGTTTCCTGAGGGCTTCAGGCTTGTCGTTCTGGTGGGAAGCAGGAAAAAATGGTGATAATGGGTGGAATAAAGCCAGAAAGTGGGGTGGCGTTGGGGGCGGGGTGAGTTCTGACAGCGGGTGAGGTAGGGGAGGGGGAGGTGTGAGGTCCGCAGCTGGTGTCATGGCCGAGAAGTTAGGAGAAACGAGGGGAGATGGGTTGGTCGTTCTGGCTGAGGCCACGGCAGTTTAAGGACAGCAGGGTGGAAGCCACTGTCAGAGTCGCTCTGTGCTGAGGTCTGGTCGCCCCAAACCAGAGCTTTGGAGGTGCTCCTCTCACAAAAGCGACCTCGGTCCCACAGCTGTTGGTTGGCAGGCCCGAAGGACGCCTGTCCATGGGTCTCTCTGCAGATGGAATGGACAGAGGAGACACGGGCTTCAGCTGAAGGACAAAATCAGGAACTGCAGCCAAAAAGAGAGGGTGGATGGCGAAAGGGAAGTTTCGAAAAGAAGCAGATTTCTTTTCAATTAGGAAGTTCAAAGGGAACGCTAGGTTAGATGACTTGTACTGGTCTAAACCGGCATTGACAGCTTGCTAGTCTCCTGAAGGCCCCCTCCCCCACAACTACAGTGAGTGGCTTTGGTCAGTCAGAACCGGGGACATCTGTGAATGGCAGCCCTGTCCCTTGCCCGGCCCCTTCGCCTGGGAAAGCCACGCCTTTTTGTCTCCAGGTGGGAGTAGGCCTCCAGGCAGGGCCCCGGCACCAGGAAGGACAGCCAGCCTGAGCCCAGGCCACTGGCCACCTCGATCCTGCAGCCCTTCTCTCTCCACTGCTCCGATGGCTTGAGGTCACTGATGTCAGTAGCTCAGAGCCCCAAGTAAATGTGAAATAGTTCTTACACTTGCGGAAGAATTCCTAAGTATGTTGTTTCACAAATCAAACCATATTCTTTGTTGTTATTGTTGTTAATCCGCACCTGGGGATATTTTTCCATTTTTTAGAGAGAATGGAAGGGAGAGGGAGAGACAGAGAGCAACTAAACATTGACTGGTTGCCTCCCGCATGCACCCTAACCAGGGCCAGGGATTGACACCAGAATTGAACCCGGGACCCTCCCCCTCGCTATGGTTCAAAACATATTCTTAATCAGATCACATGGGCCAAATTTGCTTTCAGAAAATGTGACCTTTTATTCATTCAGCAAATACATGCTGAGTGTCCTCATGGGCCCTATAGTCCTGTGGGCTCTTAGAAACCAGGGCACGGCCTGGGGAGAGACCTCCCGGGCTGCTCTGTGGGCTCACTCCGCCGCCTGCCTGTATGTTCTCAGCTGTGAGGGTTGATTCTCTTTTCCCTTAGATTCCATTTCCGTGGTGTGCGAGCCTGGGCTGGGGGGGGGAGTGGGGGGGCACTGCCTCCACAGTCGTGGGGAGATGTTCTAGAACAGCGGCTGAGAGCTCCGGAAAAGGGAGGAGTGGGGTTGTTTGTGAGGATCAGAGGAATTCTGTTGTGATCGCTGGGGAAAGGGAAGGCAGGGGACAGATGTGGATAAAGCAGATGCAGCCCAGTGGACCTTGGCGGGGGGCGGGGGGCAGGCACATCGGTGTTCACTATTACAGCTCCTTAAGCATTTCTATGCACGTGACAATATTCATAATAAAATACTGGGATGAAGCATCCACCGAGCTGTTGACATCTCTAGAGCTGAGAATTCCAGCAAACGGAGCTCAGTAGGACTGAGCAGCAGCCTGGCCAAGGCCTGGGCACGTCTGCGGGGAAGGAGTCCTTCCCTACCTGTGCCTGTGCATCCACCTGTCAGTGTGTCCGTGGGCGAGGGCGCAGGACACCGGGCCTCGGGAAGGGGCGGTTCAGTGTGTGAGTGTTCTTCATCCTTTCTGGGCCCACCTCATTCCAAAAAGGATTTGTGGGAACTTGCAAAAATACCCAGGACTTCAACAAGATAAAAGTAAGTGAAGGCTATGTCAGTGAGTGAAGGATGTATCAGTAGGTGAGCCTCATAACATGGCATCATGGTCTGAGTATGAATCTTGAAAGCAGTGGGTGCAGAGGTGGCTGGCACCCCAAAAGCATGGAGAACCCAGGTTCCCTTTCACTTGGTGGCTGACTGTCCTGGAGCCCCAGCTGGGCCTCCTCTTTTCATGGTTGATTTTAATGCTTCATTGGCCAAAGAAAAATAACCCAGAAATCTAAGTCCAACTTTAAGTTGGACTTAAAGTTGCCAACACTGGTCAGAGGCTCCACTTACGTTATTTTTATACATACATATATTTTATTGATTTCAGGGAGGGAGGGAGGGAGGGAGAGAGAGGGAGAGAGAGAGAGACACATCAATGATGAGAGAATCATTGATCAGCTGCCTCCTACATGCCTCACACTGGAGATCGACCCCACAACCCAATGTGCCCTGACTGGGAATCGAACCGTGACGTTCTGGTCCATAGATCGACAGTCAACCACTGAGCCACGCCAGCCGGCCTCCAACTATATTCGTGACTGCCCCATCCTGTGTGCAGCACCTGGGCCCCAGCATCTCTTGCCCTGCCCTCCCCACCTTCTAATCTTATCTCCTACCCGCTGCCCCAGCCGTGTTTCTCAGTTATTCTGCGAAAGCACAAATCAGTCATTCAATTAGGGCAGTTCGCTATCTGGACAAGGGGCTCCCGTGGGCCAGCCTTGCCTGTCGAACTCGACCTCTGCGTAGGAATGCTCCTTAGAAAGGGCGGTGCTTGATTAGAAAGCCGGAAAGTATGTTTCTTACCCCCAACTGGAAATGTACCTTTTAGACAAATGTTAAAATACTAACTCCTATTCTTTTTCTCCCCCCTCTTCTCTCTTCCTTTTAAAATTACATTGTTCTTAGTATATATTCTTCCAACTTCCACGCAGTGAAGAGGGAATCCGATGGGGCTCCCGGCGACCTCGGGAGCCTGGAGAATGAGAGGCAGATTTATAAAAGCGTCCTGGAAGGTGGAGACATCCCTCTCCAGGGCCTCAGTGGGCTCAAGCGCCCGTCCAGCTCGGCCTCCACGAAAGGTAACCCCGCAAAGCCTGCAGGCCTCTCGCCTGTCTGCCTCATCGGGTGTCTCTCCCGTCCACACTGTCACCGGGGTGTTGGCAGGGGTGAACCTCCAGCTACTGGAATCACTTTTGTCTTGTGCGGGTCCACTTCCAGGCCTTTGAGCCATCCTAGTCCCCTCCCCTCGTTTCTCACCGGCCATTTTTCTTTCTGGTATTAATAGTTCTCCTTCCTTTAATCCCCGGCCTTGCTCTCCCTGAAGCATCTCTCTCTCTCTTTTGTTCTGATTCCCTTTTCTTAGAAACTAACTGAGCTTTAGCCTTTCCTGACTAGCAAGGTGGCCATTTTTTCGTTGCATTTTGCACCTGCTTTGCAGCACAGATTATTTTGCTTCTGGACATCGACTGGAAATGTAAAATAAAAACACCTTATGACAAATGAGCATGTTACCTCTCCCTTTTTTTTAGCAGCTTTCAGCTTTAACCTAATGGGTCTGTTTATTTTATTCTGCATGCTTTCCAGTGGATCGTAAAGGTGGGAATGCTCACATGATTTCTTCATCTTCAGTTCATAGCCGAACGGTTAACACTAGCAATGCCTTAGGCCCTGTGTGTAAGCACAAGAAACCCCTGTCTGCTGCAAAAGCCTGCATTTCAGAAATCCTCCCCTCCAAGTTCAAGCCCAGGCTCTCCGCTCCCAGCGCTCTTTTGCAGGAACAGAAGAGTGTCCTGTTGCCATCAGAAAAGGCTCAGAGCTGTGAGAACCTTTGTGTTTCCGTTTCTTTGAACGGTTCCAAGAGAGGGCTCCCCCTCCAGGTGGGTGGGAGCATCGAGAACCTGCTCATGCGCTCCCGGCGGGATTACGACAGCAAGTCGAGCAGCACCCTGAGCCTGCAGGAGTACGGCTCCAGCACCAGGAGGCCCTGCCCGCTCTCGAGGAAGGCGGGGATGCAGTTCACCATGCTCTACCGGGACATGCACCAGATCAACCGAGCCGGCCTCTTCCTGGGCTCTGCCTCCTCCTCCAGCGTGCGGGACCTCGCCTCCCATTTCGAGAGGAACAGCCTGGCCCTGGCCAGGGGCGAGCTGGGCCCCAGCCAGGAGGGCTCGGAGCACATCCCCAAGCACACCGTCTCCTCCCGCATCACGGCCTTTGAGCAGCTGATCCAGCGGTCACGGTCCATGCCATCCCTGGACCTGTCGGGCAGGCTGAGCAAGTCCCCCACGCCCGTGCTGTCCCGGAGCGGCCTGACCGCAGCCCGCTCCGCCGAGTCCCTCCTGGAGTCCACCAAGCTCCGGCCCCGGGAGGTGGACGGGATGAACCCCGGGGGGGTCTATGCCTCCCCCACGTGCAGCCGCATGGTGGACTCCCCCTTGGGGTTCAGGGGCCTGGCGCCCTCTGAGCCCCTCTCCACCTGCTCCGACGAGCTTGACCACTGCTCCAACGTCTCCAGTGACAGCAGAGAGGGCAGCGGCGGCAGCGTTCACGGAGACTTCCCCAAACACCGCCTCAACAAGTGCAAGGGCACCTGCCCGGCCTCCTACACCCGCTTCACCACCATCCGCAAGCACGAGCAGCAGGCCTCCCGGCAGCCCGACTGGCGCCCAGACTGCAGAGGGGACCGCAGCGCGCTCCTCAGGAACATCTACCTGATGAGCCCCCTCCCCTTCCGGCTGAAAAAGCCCCTCCAGCACCACCCCAGGCAGCCTGCCCCTGGGGACTTCTCGGGCCCCCCGGCGGGCCGGAAGCCAGACCTCCCTGGTCAGCCCCAGCAGGACGAGCCCCGCGCCGGGGGGAAGCCCTTGGTGCCCAAGCGCCTGTCTTCCCGACACACCATGGCCAGGTTGGGCCGGACCACAGAGCCCCCTCAGGAGAGACCCGCGGTCCCAGAGGACTGCCCGGGGGCCTTTGATAATGGGAACCCTGTGCCGTACTCAGACCACAGCCTGGACAGAAACAACAACCCACCCAGTGAACTGGGACCATCCCACGGAGGTGGCCTTTTGTGTATTTGCCCAGTCTCAGCTCCCGTCTCCACTCTGCTTGCTCTGTCCCCTCCTCCTGTGTGCCCTTGGTGCTCATTTTCTGGTCTGTCCTTTGTTTTCTGTTTGTTTTGCTTGGCAATTAATCATGGCTCGTAGTGGCTGCACTTCTTCAAAAACAAAGCCCCCATGTCATCTAGACTAACCACCAAACTCTGTTTCGAAAGAAAAATTGGCCGTTTAGCTCATCTGAGAAAGTGGTTCATTTGAACCCTTGCGCCCCTTGCAGTTTGCACCAACCCCGACTCGCCGTGGTTTTTTGAGAGGCAGCCGCTCTCGGTGGCCTGTGTGTGTGTGTGTACAGTGTGTCCCTGTGAGATCCTGCACGCCTCTGAGCAGGGACACTTGTCCGAGAAGGTCCTCTCTTTTTGCTCACCTTTTGCCTTGTAATGAGTTTTGTATTACACTAGTTCACAAGTGAATCCAAAACGTGGGGGGAATTCGAGGGTTCTTTCCTTCAGAATTCAATCATTGATCACTGGTCTCTACAACTGTAAAAAATCTGCTATTTAGAATGGATGAAAGGTGAAATCTTTTCCCAGTTTGGTTTCCCACTAAATCTTTGCCTGTTTTAATTCTACTTTGTTCTTTTGAAGATTCAGAATCACCAAGACATTTTATACCAGCTGACTACTTGGAATCCACAGAAGAATTCATCCGAAGGCGTCATGATGATAAAGAAGTAAGTGCCATCTCTAAAATCTCTTGGCTTTTGGGCAGAGAAAAATATGAAGGAAGTAAACATCCCAGATATCTGCCAGAGAGATGACGTGGCCTAGCAATTGGAAGCCAAGATCAGCTTTGTCAGAAGTGACTTTTTATATGACATTGGCGCAGTCAGGCCTCTTTCAGTCCACTTTCCCTTAAAGTAGATTTTCTCAAGGCACTGGGTTCTGAACGCCACTTTGCCCCCCAGGAGGTCCAAGAAGAGGTTGCCCACCCTGTATTGCTCTTTGCTCTTTCATCCCTCCGCCAGACCCCGGCCTTATTATTCTCTAGGGAAATCCTCTCACATGTTTCTCCAGTACTGCCATCCCTCCGTTGGCACCAAGCACAGTTCATGTTGGGAAGGGTGCAGTAGGAGGAAGCGGAAACTGGAGAAGAATAATGACCATGATACATACTGTGGTCACTAAAAGGCAACCATTTGGTGTTGCCTTTGTATTCAGAAGAAGAGATGCCCCAATAAACGTTGCTAAACTCCCACCAAGAGCTTCAGGCTGAGCCCTTTCCTTGCAGCTGTGGAGGCATGACTGACAGGGCAGGGAAAGCAGTGCGTTCCCTTGGGATTTAGGAGGCGGCCGCTCTGCCTATCCGTTGACTGGGCCACATCACAGCGTCTGTTATGGCGCAGTGTTGGTACGAGGCGTGCTTTCTAGACTGTGTGTGCCCAGGAGAATGGGTCCTGTGGATGAAACAGGCTGCAGTGCCTGTTCCTGTCGTGAGTGAAGAGGTGGAAGAACGGCTGGAGCCTGGCGGCAGGAGGTGGAGGGTGTTCATGTCTACGCAGCTCTTCCTTTCTCTGCAAAGTCTGAAGTCCCTGGTTCTGTTTCATGGTGGTTTCAGGGTTTGGGTGGATTTTCCTTAAGGATTTCGGGTGAGGCCAACTTTGAGGAGAGCCGGATGGTGCGACAAAAGACAGAAAAGACATGGTCTCCCCTCTCCGGGCATAACGCAGGCAGTACTCAGTAAGACACTGGCACGTGTCCATGGGAAGAAAGAAGAGGAAGGATCTGATGTATAGAGTAGTTTGTAATAACAAGGTGAAACGCTCAGACACCATGAGTGTCATGAGGCCACAGAGCAGACTCGGTTCTCTCACCATCACTGAGCCACAGGAGCCGCCCTGCAGGCCGGAAGCTGTGGTGGAGGAGGGCACTCCAACTCGCTGTGTAGACCGAGTCCCCAGCACGGAAGGTTTTGTGATAGAACGCTGCCTGCCACCCGGGAGGCATATTTCACGTAGTTGGTTTAGCCGTTTGGTATATTCAGAGGTGCATTCAGAAGGTGAGCAGCTCGTTTCCTGAACTGCTCAAAGGCCCTTAAAAACTGTCTTTCCCCAGGGTATTGGCTGGTGTGGTGAAACTGCGGGGCAGGTGGGTTTATCAAGGTCAGATCCAAGTGCTCCGTTCCCTGTCCACCTTCACTGGCTTCATGTGACCTGGGCCAGACCACCAGAGGCCTGGCCTCAGCGTCGGTCCCTTCCCACGGCTCCAGGGAAAGCACACTCCCAGCTCATGGGTGTCAGTGCTGGCGTGTTTCTAGCAAATGCTTTCTTATCCACATTGATGATGGTGGCATTTCAGGAAATGGTCATGTCAGCCCTGGCAGGGACATTCGTGGTCACCCAGTCACCTCCTTGTTCATCCAGGAAGGGACTGGGAGAGGGTGATGGTTGCCAGGGCCACATCCACGTTGCCTTATACCCGAGGGAGAGCTGGAAACCAGGGCTCCATGTGCTTGCAAAGCACCTTCTTGTCTTTTCTTATTTAATCTTCACAACAACTTACCCGAGCATTGGAAATCCCACGACTTTTGGTGAGTTGTTACTTTATTATTTGTGACCCTGGAAAAATAGGAAAATTGGGCCCACCGTCATTTGGGGCTAGGTGTCACATGAGGCATTTAATTTCCTTCTGAAAAAAGCCTAATGTTTTATTAAGAATGTAGGAATCGTCAGTTACAATTAATGCTTTTCCTACAAAAAAACGTTAATCCCAAGGATGTATGTTTGGTATGAAATAGGAAAACACATTAAAGTTCTATTCCATAGGGTCATTTCAATAGGCAATGAGGAAATGCAGCATTGTTTAATTATTTTAAAAGATCTTTCAAAATAGAAATAGATGCCTATTTCCTTAATTTAGGGGAGAATATTTCTTCTAAACACAAGTACCATCATTCTTAGTTTATCTTCTGTATTTATAGTCTACAAATTAAACTCACTTTCACTTCACCTAATGAAGAAATAGTTATTTTTAAAAGTATAGCAAGAAAGTAACTGATGCTCTGTCAGTCAAACATAGCCTTGGCTAAGGCCTCCTAAAAACTGTGCCCAGAGAAAAGATCGCTGGCCTAGGAGAAGAGGAGCTGTTTGCTGAAATGGCAGCTCCACTCTGTCAAGCATCTTAGAGCAGGGGTCCTCACACTTTTTAAACAGGGGGCCAGTTCACTGTCCCTCAGACCGTTGGAGGGCCGGACTATAGTTTAAAAAAAAAACTATGAACAAATTCCTATGCACACTGCACATATCTTATTTTGAAGTAAAAAAACAAAATGGGAACAAATACAATATTTGTATTTGCATGTGGCCCGTGGGCCGTAGTTTGAGGACCCCTGGCTTAGAGTAACAGACATAGGAAGCACAAAAATGACTTTGTTGTCCTTGACCCCTCAGAGTAAAAGCCCATAGCAGGTGTAGTAGGTCAGATGTGGGTAGAGGAGTCAGCCAGCCCTGGTCCCACTGTGGGAACAGCTGTGGGAACGCATCCCTGAAGGACAGCACTTCAGCCTCCTGCCGCCAGCCCAGCATGCGTAGGAATGCATGGATACACCTGGGTCACCTGGCCTTGCTGCCGCGTGTAAGGAGGTAGGGGGCTTTGGGCTGAGCCGGGGGCGGGTTGAAGACAGTGTAACTGTGTGGACTTCATCCTTCGCTGTGTCCCAGTGTCCCCTGGTTTCTCCTGTGCAGGGTTGTCTCCTTCCTATGCGGAGTGGTGCCGGGGGGTGGTCATAGCGGAACATAGTAGTTGTGGCCATAAAGCCCTTCCAGCATCTAACCCTTAATTTCCTCCTATTGACCTGGCACCTTTTCCTCAGTTGTTTTTGTTGGCAGTTTTCCAATGCCCTGGACCAGATGATTCACTGCCCATTTTATGCAATTTCATGGCAGAAACTTTTAGCGGACCAGCGACGACTTAAGCGCGAGCAAGAAGAGGCCGATATTGCAGCTCGGCGCCACACGGGCGTCATTCCAACGCACCATCAGTTTATCACTAATGAGCGCTTTGGGGACCTCCTCAATATAGACGATACGGCAAAAAGGAAATCTGGGTCAGAGGTCTGTTTTGGTCGCCTCGATCTGCTGCTTGACCCAAAGCCATATTTGCCTCCCCTCAGCATTGCCCGCTGTAGGCCGAATTAGTTCTGTCATCCTGGCTTCCCTAGGCTCGCTTTGGCTCGCTGTGGCTGGCCCGTGGACATGAGTCCCATCATGTCCTGCGCTCTGTATGTTCAAGCATGCCTGGCTGCGGGACCGGGATCTGCTGGCACACGCCCTCTGCATGCCTAGAGCATCGGCTGCCTCCATGCGTCCAGTCCTCTACATCCTGCCTTTCATCGTGATACCATGTTGCCTGTGCATTCTGCTTAGAAACCTTAGACCTTAGTCCCTGTGCCTTAGCTTCCGTGTGGACAAGGTTCTTCTAAGAGATGGTTGAGTGAAACTTAAGTTACAAAAGTTAGCTAGCAACGCATCTTTTACACTGACCTCGAAACTTAGTCCCGTTAACATTGAACTGTCAGAGCACCATGCTGCCTCTTAGTGGTACAATGAGGTACTTGGATAAAGTGCCCAGCAATACTGCAGCCTCACTGGCGAATTTTGAAATGAGTTTTGCAGCAGGATGAGCTCATGGAGGGTGAGAGGCGTTTCATTTGTTCCCTTAATTTTGACATTTCTCAGCTAAGGTTATGAAACTTAATATTATGAAACAAACGAAGAAGCACAAACCTTTGAAGTGATGTTGTTCAGGCCTCGGCCTCCTCCCCCTCCCCTGAGGTCGGCATGTTGGAATCCTGGTGCTGCCAAGGCTGCCTCTTGTGCCAGAGTTTGTTTTGCCACGTGACCCTCCAGTGACCCTGCTGAGGTTGGCTCCTTTCGGGGACCTGAGTGTCTGGGGCTTGGGGGTATAGAAATGAGTTACACCCAAAGTATATACCATTTTATCATCTTTCAATATAATAGTAGGTTAATACTCATTTTTCTATATTTTGAGTGACAGAGGTGGCACTGGCTAGTGGTCAAATTGTCTGGGAAGAAGAGGTAGAGAAAAGGAGGACCAGATTAGAAGACGGGAAACTGGAGAGGGGACAGAGACTCTAACATGATGGGAAAAGGTCATAAGGAAGAGGCAGGAGTTCGCAAGGTTGATCAGTTTCAAGGGAAGGATGCCCCGGGAAGATTAGGAAGATAGAGAGAGATGCTTGTACAAGCAACGGTGACTCAGGTAATGGCCCTCTTGTACCAGCTCCTCAAAGCCCTGTTCTGAGGCTGCAACGGTGGCTGGTCCTCCTTCCTGGGCAGGCTCGCTCGAGAGTGGTGGGAGGAAGGGAACACACCAAAGCACCGAGGCCTGCACACTCACACAGATGACAGCACACGTGCGTGAGAATGCGGCTGGGGTAGAATAACCATGGATAGAGGCAGGCACAGTGCCCAGCCCGCCTTCCTCCCTCCAGAGCAGTGGTTCTCACACCTGAGTTCTCGAATCCCCTAGGGTCGTGGTCGGCAAACTGCGGCTCACGAGCCACATGCGGCTCTTTGGCTCCTTGAGTGTGGCTCTTCCTAAGCCTTAGGAGTACCCTAATTAAGTTAATAACAATGTACCTACCTACATAGTTTAAGTTTAAAAAATTTGGCTCTCAAAAGAAATTTCAATCGTTGAACTGTTGATATTTGGCTCTGTTGACTAATGAGTTAGCTGACCACTGCCCTAGGGGCTTGTTAACATACAGGTGGCTGGGCTCCATCCACAAAGTGTCTGATTCTGGCATGGGGCCTGCGAGTGTGCATTTCTAACCAGTTCCCAAGTGACGTTGGTGATACCGGTTTAGGGACCACACTTAGAAAATCACTGCCCTCGATGTGGGCCGACAGACATGAGAAAACAGACACCAACAAGTCCCAGGGCACCGGGCTGTGCAGACACACTTCAGACCCATCAGGCAGACCTTGGGTGACCACTGGTTCTGCGCAAGTCCCTGTGGGGAGGCGGGACCCAGACTCAGACTGTGCCCTTGGGAAGCTGGCAGTCCAGCAGAAGAGGCCCCCTCCAAACAGGTGTCTCTGTGGTAGGAACGGGTGTCTCTGCTGTGGTAAGTAGCACAGCACATGGGAGCCAGAGGATTCAGCCCCAGGAAGATTAGGAAGATAGGGAGAGATGCTTGTACAAGCAACGGTGACTCAGGTAATGCATCCCAACAGATCAATGGAATCAGTGTTGCTCAATGTTGAGTGATATATGGGTTTCCTTTAATGAAAAAAGAAAGTTCAACCCCCAGTTTTGACCTAAACCAATTCAGGAATTAAACAGTAAATACACACCTATACAACTTTATTCATTTAACTGTAGGTCATACCACTTTGCGTGAGCTCTGTTGCCACCCCAAGTGTGCAGTTGGCGCTGTTTAGTGCAAATATTTACATCACCCAGTTCTAGCGCTAGCTGTCAAGGGTGGCCACCACTTTCATTGTAGTCACTGCTATGTTTGTCCTTACAGTTTTGGTCATTTTCTCTTGTCATTTATCATCAACCCCACATCCGTTCTTTTCTTGTTTGCCCACAGCTGTTCAGTTATGCCCCTTGGTCACAGACACAATGCAGGCATTGAAATTGTGTAGCATTGGTTGTAAGGTCATCCTTCAATTGACCTCTAATATGCATGTCTGTAGATAGAAGGATGGAAGAAGCATCAGCATGAAGATGAAAAATAAAAAATTCCTGTGGAGAATTCATGCCCTTAAGAAGATCCCTCCAAGACCCCAGCTTGAGGAGCCTGGCCACACGGGGCATCTCACTGAGGGATCGGGATCTAGGGTCGCCCATCTCCCCTGAACTTTGACCATGGCCTCTAATACTGAAGAGGAAGTGTGCGGTTTAATTTCCATCACATTGTTCCCCTAGACCAGGTGGTCATGGGGTCAGATCTATATTGGCAGCTACATTGCTCACATGACTTCTCTCCCCTCCTTTTTTTTTTTTTAATTAGTTAAAATAACTACTTTTAATGGTGGGGAAGACAGATATGCAAATACATATGGGGGTAAGTAAAGGTGAGCTTTTTGCTCTTTTTGCCGGAATTGGAAATGAAAAAATTCCAGACAGAGAAGGCAGTTTAGCCAAGGTGTGGCAAACAGACTTGCCTGACGGGAAGAGTGTAATAAGAGATAAAGGCCATTAGGTGTGAGGGGGGAGACATTACCCACAGGCCTTAACAACACTTAGGAATTGAGATTTGATCTGAGGGCAGTTGAGAACCTCAGCCAACTTCAAAGCAAGGAAGTGATGTGATGGAAGCATTTGAGGAATGTTCTTTGTGCTCCTGAGTGACAGCAGATTAGAGCCGAGAGAAGTGAAGTCAAAGGAAGCTTTGTGCCTGTGAACCAGAGTCAGACCTGAGTGGGGAGGGAGGGAGAGGGAAGCTGGCTGACTTCATGGCAGATGGACAAAGGAGGGGAGACGGGCCAAGGGTGCACCCAGGCCTGGAGTCTGGAAGGAGAGAGCCACCCGATAGGCAGGGAAGCCTTGGAGAAAGAATGAGCGCAGGACCCACTTCATCTGGCTTGTGGGTGATCTCGGAGGCCATGAGAAAGGTACAAAGTTGAAGATGACGTGAGAGGTGAATCGGGGTTTCATCCACTTGCAGGTCGTAATTTAAGTCAGGCAAACAGAGGAGGTAAGAGTAAAACGGTCACAATTCCCACACAGTAAGACTTCTGGCTAACTCCCTTTTTATTAGTTTGTTTTGTTTTGCTTTTAATAGCCATGGTCAGCTGTGGGGAACTAGAACGTCAGCTTTGGGACTTTTGTCACCACCTCCTCCCCAAATCTGGCCCTCCTTAGGGAGAGGCTCATGCATGACGTAGCTGACCAAACATCCACCTAGTGTTCTGCTGAGGTCAGACGAGAGGAATCCTGCCCAGATGTGTACCCCAGAATGAACTGGTTAGAGTGCGTCTTTCTGCTTTGCTTTCCGGAAACGCGTGAAAATGTGTCCTTTCCGTTGTACGTGAATTGTGATTTTAACTTGACATTGTTTCTTGTGTTTAGATGAGACCTGCCAGAGCCAAATTTGACTTTAAAGCTCAGACACTGAAGTAAGTGCCACTGGTCCTATTTGTCTGTCATTTTAACTGCCTCTCTGAAACATAGATGTCCACTTAGAAGAGCTGGAGAAGTCACAGTGATGAAAACCAGTCGTTTATGGCACTTGCCGAGCACTGTTCTGAGTGCTTTGCACTGTATTATGCTATGGCACAGGTTACGCTGTGGCCCTGTGAGGTCGGTACTGTTATCCCTTTGTATCGATGGGGAAACTGAGGAACTGCATGGGTAAGGGACTTTCCCAGGCTGGTCAGTGATGGAATCAGGATTCAAATCCCTGCCTCCTCCTCTACAGGGATTCAGTTTGCTTGATGACGTGGGGGCTCCCTCTGACCCAACCTCTCCCTGGAGGGAACCAGAGCCAGTCTCTAGGAAGACAATTTTATCAGTTTTGCTGCTATAACCTGGGAGGTTAAAGGCACAGGAGACCAGCGTTTCTCCAAGTATGTTTCTCAGAGTGCTCCGTCATAGAAAGGAGCCTGGGACCACCCCACCGTGTCTGTCCCTCCCGCCTGCCCTTGAAGAGAGGCTTTGCTGTTGGCACATGTCTGGCTCTAGAAGTCCTTCAATGAAGAAAGAAACCTGATTAGCTTAACTAACCCAGGGCAACCTACATTTAGATGACCAGGAGACCTCTACATCTTCCATGGAATGAAATGGGAGTGCTACCAAAGATGGGGCTCCAAAAGGAGCCTGTTCACTTTATGTCTAATTATGGATGAAGGTGGACCAGAGATTTCGTGGGCAGCAGTGGCCAGCAGCCATCCGTTGTCCTGCTGGTGGGAGGCCCCACATCTGATGATGAGGGAGACCTCCCATCCTCAGACACAGGAACTGTGTGTGGAGGCTGCTGGGCCGCGATCTCCAGCACAAACCAGGCCATGACTTCTAGAACCTGGGCACAAGTCTGGTGCCCTCGGGTATTTGTCATGACACCTCCAGCCCTTTGGCTCAGCAGCTAACAAGAGGCGGTGGCATTATGTCCCAGAAAGAGTATGGGCTTTGGAGTCCTGCCTCTGCCAGTCTTGTCTCTGTGACCATGGCCAAGTCACCAGCCTCTCCCACCTCAAATTTTCTCATCTGTAAAATGGGCATAAAGGTGCCTCTCTTGCAGGGCAGCCAAGGTACTACACTTATAAAACATTTTGCATGATGTAACCAGAGAGGGTAACAAAGATTTATAAAATAGGCTTTAGTTTAATCAAGTAGACACCTTCATCCCCCTTTTTTTAATTAAGAAATGTCCATGTAATATTCATTAAGTGGTATCGTATTGATAATAATGCATTTACCACGATTTCATATTTTAAAGTCTTAAAACAATTTTAGAGCAATCCTGTCAAGAACAGATGAGAAATCTGAGGTAAACAGGACCGTCACCACTTCCAACAGTGCGGGCGCTGGAGAGGGCTCCTCCCTCCCGCCTGGCTTTCATCCTGCCCACTGCCGCCAAAACAAGTTCGTGCAGCGTCCCTACAGGCGGCAGTGACAGACCCATAGGCTTGCGTCTTAAACGTCTGCAGTCACTGGGTTCTCTTTTCCCCATAGCATGTTACTCAGAAAAGTTCTTAACAGTGGGGCCCTTACGGCTCCCGCCTGCCTGTACAGCTGCAAGTCACTTAGGTGGCAGCGCTGGGCCTGCAGACCCCCAGCACCCGTGGATGTGCCGAGGGTCCTGCTCACCCAGGTGTCCGTGGTTGGGTGTAAAGGGAGGGTGATTTCAGAACATCCCAAGGAGGACTATGGCCAAAATTTGGCCAAACACATTCCTTCCAGAGACAGGTGCCCGGATCCCTTCACGGGCCTCTTTCAGATTAGAGTCCCGACTACCAATGAGAGACCACAAAGGCTGCCTTGTTCCTTCATCCGGCACAGTGCCGGCTTTGTGTAAGGTTTTCCAGATGTGGCCCCATTGTTCAGCCAGCATCTCTCACGTCCATGGGACTTCCCGGCACAGGGCAAAGCAGGCACCCCCTCCAAACTGCAGGCGCAGACCTTTCTTTCCCGGCGGTTGGTGTGGCGCAAATGGAAAAGATCTGGGCGTGTGTGCTTTCAAGTCAAGAAAATTTCAAGTTACAATTTTTGTTCTCCTTTTAAGTTCTCGTTTTATGTTATCTTTTTGTCTCTATTTTTTAAGGGAGTCCTGATTAGAGGTTAGCATCATTATTGAGGCAAACAAAGGGATGGATATGGAGAGGTTGGAAAAGGGGCATGAAGAACATTTGAAAATTTACTTTTCTTTCCAAGATCCCTTTATGCTGAAAGGAAATAGCATTTACTGAGTGTTAACTACATGTCAGGCACTGTGCTGGGTGTTTTATTTGTAGTTTGTTGCTGAATTCTCCAACAACTCTGAGTTAGCTCCTATTTTGATAAAGTATCTCAGAGATAGTATTTCACCCAAGGTTCCAGAGTTAGTAGATGGTATAACTGGCTTTTGAATCCAGATCTGCCTAATTTTAGAGCCTTTCTACTGCACATTGATGGATGGATGGTGAGATGGATGGAACGATCGAGGATATTGATATTGGAGAAATAATTTGATGATAATTGAAAGCAATGAAGACATGCTTTGGCAGGGCAGAGAAGAGGGTAGAAAAGGCAGTGAAAGTGTCGAGAAGGAAACGTTTGTCATCATTGAATGAACATCAGTTAAGACTAATGAGTGCGTTGCTAGGTGTTATGTAAACCGTGAGCATAGCACAGCATTCGCAAAAAGTGCTTGGAGAAACCACAACAAGCTAATAGGCTCCTGAGCACTTTCAAGCGCTGGTCAGTTTGAAAGTTAGCATCTACCCCATAAAAGCCCAGAAAAGCGCCACAGGTGATGTGACTTCCCGCCTGGGAGGGTTCTCACTTCCAAATGCGGAGCCCCACTTGTGTCCTTTGGTCCCTTTGGCCTCACTTAACGTCTTTTATAAAAATCTACACGTCTTAATCTTACACGCATTGAAACGTCTGCTAAAGTGCATAACCCTCTGTTGACAGGGAGCTTCCTCTGCAAAAGGGAGACATTGTTTACATTTATAAGCAGATCGACCAGAACTGGTACGAAGGCGAGCACCACGGCCGGGTGGGCATCTTCCCGCGCACCTACATCGAGGTACCGCAGCCCCTCTTCCTAGGGAAACGCCGGTCGTGCCCAAAGGGCCACCTATTAATCGGGAACTTGTGTTTTGTTTCCTCCTTTCCTCTCACGTCCCCACTTCTTCCCTTTCACCTCGTTTCCTTTCTCAGCTTCTTCCTCCTGCGGAGAAGGCTCAGCCCAAAAAGTTGACACCGGTGCAGATCTTGGAATACGGAGAAGCTATCGCAAAGTTCAACTTCAATGGGGATACGCAAGTGGAAATGTCCTTCAGGAAGGTGAGCCCTCTCACCCGTGCTTCGGGCCTGTTGGGTGGCGCTGATCTCAGGGCAGGTGGCATTGCAGGGCATCAACCCCTTAAAGATGTGCCAGTCAAGGGTGCATGAAGGGCAACTGGATAATTTTGAGATAATTTTAAAAATAAACCCTAGGCTAGTGTCAGGGTTTAAATTCATTGAGTTCACTGATTACAGACAGCATTTCTGGAATCTTACACACCTTCCATAAACTGTATTCAGTTGGCATTTGTCGAGCACCTAATGATGTGATAGGCGCTGTGTAGGTGACTAGGTTTTACATCACAGGTTCTGGCCTAGTCGAGAAAAGCAAGTCTTGACACCAGGAGAAGCTTGAAAAACTGTGAAGCCAAAAGTCACAGGTTCTCAGCTGTGCAGCTTTTGGGGAGTTAAATAATTTTTCCGAGCCATCATTTCTTTATATGTAAAATGAAGATAAGTGGCTCTCCTAGAGCTGTTGCAAGAGGATTACATGAAACAACGTTTAGCATCTAGTTGGTATTCAGTAAGCAGGAGATGATGCCAGTATTATTATCATCCATTATTGCCTTCAAGGAGCTGAGCATGCTTATTTTATATTATTATTGATTTTTAGAGGAAGGGAGAGGGAGAGAGAGAGAAAGAAACACCCATGTGAGAGCGAAACATCCATTGGCTGCCTCCTGCAGGCTCCCTCCTGGGGAATAAGCCGAACTCCGGGCATGTGCCCTAACCAGGAATCAAAACAACAACCTTTCAGTTTACAGATGATGCCCAACCAGCTGAGCCACAGTAGCCAGGGTTCCGCTTGCTTATTTTGAACACAGTTAAGCTGGCAGAGACATGTTCTTCCCAGGAATTCCAACACTTTACCTGCCAAAATTCTCTGGCTTGCTAAAGTTACTAATTTCATTGAGGACTGAGGAAAGTGAGTATATGCCTCAGATAAAGATGAACCCCTCATAGAAAAGAAGAAACACTGGAAGCAACCCAGGTGCCATGCATCAGGTGAATGGCAACTAAATCGGCACAGGCATGTGCAGTGGGATAGCCCACAGTGGTCCTTACGCTGCCAACACAAATGTAGAATTATTTTTCTTGAGAAAGAACGAGGCTTACTACATGTTGTTTAGTATAAAAAAAAGTAAGTTGGAAAAGGGAAATACAGCGCATACTCAGTTTTTATAAGAAAAATAATATGTGCAAGTCCAATTCACAGAAACAAAATTCAGTCTGGGAAGTACATATATCAAAATATTAATAGTAGTTACCCGAGTGATAACATAGGTAATGATTATTTCTGCTTTCTATTGCTTGTGCTTTAATTTGTCTATAATGACAGGAAAAAATAAAGTTATAAAAAGGAAGAAAAAAGAGAACCCCTCCCAAAAAGCCTTTGCCTTAGAGAAGAAGTTTGCATATCTGTCCGTTATGCATTCAGTGAGTGAAAACACTCCATTTGCCTGCTAGCTTTGGGGAACGAGTCTGACCTTCTTTATGGAAATATTTACGGGCCAAGCTCAACCTCCCAGCATCCAGGTAGCGCCACTGCTGGGAGCATCACCATCCCAGTGATAGTAATTCTCTCCAGGTCTAGCAAGGAAGGTTCATGTGAGCAAAGAGTGTGCTAAACTAGCAGGACAGCGAGGGGTGCAGGCAGGGCCTCGGGCTGGGGCATGGTGGGACACGGACCGTGCCTTGCTGTGTCTTACAGGGTGAGAGGATCACGCTGCTCCGACAGGTGGACGAGAACTGGTACGAAGGGAGGATCCCGGGGACGACCCGGCAAGGCATCTTCCCCATCACCTACGTGGACGTGATCAAAAGGCCACTGGTGAAAAACCGGGTGGATTACATCGACCTGCCTTACTCCTCCCCAAGTCGTAGTGCCACCGCGAGCCCACAGGTACCTACGCGTCTCGTCACTGGTTTTCACAGTTGGCGTGACAGCCCCTCAGTGCTGAGGGCACAGCCCCCCGAGGGTGGCTCTTCAGCCTGTGATTGAGAACGGTCCTCAGCAGGGGGGAGTAGACACACTGGGGCGAAAAGGGAGAGCTTAAGGAAATTGCTCTGGGGATAAGGTGATGAGAGGGAGAGAAATCGGAGCCTTTATCAGCTGGTCCAGAACTCTGTGCCGGGAATACCCAGTGAAGCGGGCGGGGTGCCTCCACTGTTCTTACGTGCCATGGCCCAGTCGGTCCTTGTCACCTCATTGGTCAAGGTTGGCTGCAGAAGATAAAGACCCAGACTATCCTTTGCAAGCAGAGACCAGGTTTAAAAAGTAACTTCTAGCACCTCTGTGTACACTGGGCTGAAGGAAGGGGGTTTATCACAAAATGTTCGCTTTCCTGAACATTTATTACGAGCAAACTGGTTTTAAAACATGAATTATTCCAAATCACCACTTCCCCAAAGCCAAGAAAAATGAGGACCCTGGGCTCGGGAGAGGCATGTAGGCGACTTCCTGCCAGAGCCCCGCCTGCTGCCACTGTGGGTTGTCGGGAGGAAGGAGAGCAGGCCCGGGACCAGGGGACAGTGGATGGTCCTCTCTCCTCTCCTCCCTGGTCATTTTCTCCTCTCTGACCGCCCAGGGCTGACTCAGGAGATGGGTACTGGCAGATTCTCTGCCCAGCAAGGTCCACCTGCTGTGATCTTGTGGGCACAGGGTGTGAGATCGGTGCAGCACATTCTACCTTATATTACAGGGACTTCAACTCGATGTTTTGCCTGACTGTAGCCAAGCGAGACTATAAAACTGACCCCCTGCTCATACTCCTCTCTGGAAGGCTCTTTGCCGAGCCCCCTGGAGAGAATAAAAGCCCAAGGCAAGGCGGGGGCAGTGGCAGGTCACCGTTTTTTCCTTGGTTCTGGGTCAGGGCCTCGGTTGCCCAGGTGGTTGGTGGGGCAGGCGGGCAGCTTCCAGTGTGTTCCTTTGGAAGTGACTCTGCAGACCAGGTGGCACCGGTGTAAGTGCCCAGTGGGACTCCTTTATCTCTCCCCCACTCCACTCACGTCTTCCACCCTCCCCAGCTGCACACGATCACAATCTCACACACACACACACACACACACACACACACACACACACACGTGCGCACGTCTCAGCTTCTCTCCGAACCTAAGCAGACAGCTTCCTCTGGATACCAGCGTGTCCCGCTCGTCTCCATTTCAGCCTCTCCGTGTGTCCCTGTGGTTATTCCTCCTTCCTTCTTTAAGCTGACTCTACCTTGTGCTTCTTCCTTTTGTTTTCCTCTCTCTCCTTTTCTTTTTAAGTTTCCCAGTCACAGCAAGCTCATCCTGCCAGCCCCCTCATCTCTGCCTCACCCCCACCGAGCCCTGTCCCCTGAGATGCAGGCTGTCACCTCGGAGTGGATCTCACTGACGGTGGGGGTCCCAGGCCGGCGTCCTCTGGCCCTGACCCCACCTCTGCCTCCTCTGCCAGAGGCGTCTGTCTATTACACTGACCACCTTGCCTTTTTGACAAGGCCTAGTCCCTCCCTGTCCCTCAGCCTCCCCCATTCGAGCTGGTTGGGTCGTTCCACCCCCCACTCGATTGTCTCCCCACTGGCCCTCCCTGCCCCCCACCGAGCCTACTCCCCGGTGCCTGGTGCCCAGACCTCCCTTCAAGTCAACGGAGACAGTGGCAGCCACAGGCCCCCTCCAGGCTTCCCGCAGGGCAGCTTCTCCCAGCCTCTGCTTGGGAGCCCTGATAGAGTCATCTCGGAGCTTAGCAACGCCTTTAGCAGCCAGGGCCCGTGGCGAGAAGAAAGCAGACAGTACGAAAGGAAAGCAGAGAGGGAGGCAGGTGAGAGATGCCTGGGCGGACCCACGATCTCTAAGAAGAGCTGCTTGAAACCTTCAGACGTGGTCAGGTGCCTGAGCACCGAACAGAGACTCTCAGACCTCCGCACCCCCGAGGAGAGCCAGCCCAGCCAGGCCCTGGGCAGCCCTTTCCCGGGACGGGAGGCTGAGCAGACAGAGCCGCGTAGAGGTGGCGAGCAGGCTGAGCGGAAGGCTGCTCGGAGTGGTGTGCGCCAGGTAGGCCTGCAGCATGACGTGTGTGCCTTGGCGTCTCCGTCGGCAGGTGGGCCAGACGTCTCACCGATGGTCCACCTGCCGAGGCCACGTGATGCCAGGGAGACCCACTTGCTTGTCTTGGGAGCAGAAATACCCAGGAGGGAACAGAGGGGTCCTGGATGAAGGTGTCAGGGCTGGGAAGTCGGTGACAAAAGTCAGGCTCTATTCTGGCCATTTGAGGAGATTCCAAAGACCCCCCCTTGGGGCACCTCCTGCACAAGCCCCTGAGAAGGAGGAAGGCCTTCCCTCCCCCATTCCCGCTGCGGAGATCACCTCGGTTTGCTCAGACTAACAGCTGGAACACAGGCTTCGGTGTGCTCAGTGTGGTTTGCTTTTGTGCGAGAACTGCTCCGTGGCACGCCGTGCTGCTCCGTGGTCTGCGTCCTGTCTGTCTGTGGGTGCACAGGCCTTTGTTCGCTGCGAACAAGTGCGCTTTGCTTCGGGAGGACCGTTCAGGCCCAGCACCGGCCTCACAGGTTTGGGTCCCTGAATGGGCACGCCCGCTGTTCACGTGACCGTCCCCTCCTCTGTCCGTGTCAGCTACAAAGGTTTCTGAGTGTGGACCAAGGTGGCTGTAGGGTGTTCTGAGCGCTGAGAGTTTGGTGTGTGTGGGGGAGATAAACTTGGCAATTAGATCGAGATTCCAATGTGGCGATGCCGTTCAATACCCCAAATGTCAATGAAGCCAGGTGTGCCTGCCAGCCTACCTCCTAATGTCTCGTGCTTGGGAGTGACTTCCCTTTCTGAGCCTCAGTTCCCCATTTTTAAAATGGACCTGGTAACACGGACCTCAGAGAGAGGTCGGGAGGGTTCCAGGAAGTCACGTGAAAGAGGTGCTCGCACAGGGGCTGGGGTGGCGCATGGTCAGCATTTTGTAAATGGAAGCGACCATCCCGGGTGACCTGGAGCTGCTTCTGGAACTGAGAACATTCTAGAATGTCTTTAGCACCCAGTGGAATTCTTGACGATGTCGCTCCAAACCATTTGTCGTCTGCTGTGTACGATGCCCACAGGAGACTGCTTGATCTCAGACCTGGTGTCCCCATTTCCCTTTAAAGTTTCATTTTTCACTCAACAAATATTTACTCAAAACCTGTAGACACCAGCCTGGGGGCAGGGGGCAGGGGTCACCCATCCCTGCCCTCGAGGAGCCTAGGTCAGCAGCGCCAGGACTGCAGTGATGGAGGTGCCCTTGGAGCCCACAGAGACCCACACGCAAGTGAGGCCAGACCTCCAGCTCCAGCCAACAGTGGGGAGGGGGCCGTGTGCTGCGGGAGGGCGGTGTGGGACATGTAACCACTCAGGCCGAGCCTCATGCTAGCAGCCACTTAACCTCCCAGCGCGGGCTTCTCCTGTGCCAGGCGGTCCCTCCCTCCTGGGGGGGCTGTGAGGATAAATTAGGTGGGTGGTGCCCGGCACGGGGAAGGCTCCACAGGTGGATGCTGCTCCAGCTCCGGGTGTGGGGCTGAGGGGCACAGCAGCACCTGGGGAGGCCATGCCCTGCAGGCGCTCCTGGGATGTGTGTTCACTGGGGAAGAAAAGGGTGCGGCCAGTGAGGGAAAGAATAGTTCATTGGTGAAGTGGCTGGTGGAACAGAGTTAAATGTCTGACACAGGAACGGTTCTGTAAACATTCCCGGTCAGTCGTGGTGCCCGGAGACCTCGTTATTGTCAGCAGTGAGTCACAGCGACCTGCCTCCAGGCCCAGCACGCACAGGAAGAGCGTGGTGCCAAGCCCGGGGCCGGGCTAGGGGTATACACGCTCCCTTCCTGACGGAGGGGCGGGAGGAGGAGCTGGCCACCCGGTGCCAGGCTTGATGAAATCGATGTCCCGTTCTCGGTGGGCCTCCAGGCCGCCAGTGGACCACTTCCCGTCCCCGCCCTCTCTCCTCTCTTCCATGTGACGCCCAGGCTGTGGGCCTTGCTCCCTACGAGAGCTAGAGGGTTGTGGGAAGGGGGCTCCTGCCCACACACCTCCCTCCCAGCCCCTTCACTGCCCCTCCTGTGCCTGGGAACAGGACCCCGATACTTGATACTCTGGAAATGGGGTCCTTCAAAAGAAGCTTCCTGCTCGCGAGGCCCTCTGGGCGACAGAGCTAAAGATGGAAAGGACTTCAGTGACACTGTTCTTTGGTGGCCGTCAGGATGGTGCGAGCTCAGGCTGAGTCACTGTAGATAAATGTGCTCCAGACCAGTCTGTGTTATCGGGAAAACTGCGGCCACTCCTCTTGCTGGGGGGAGCTGAACCAAAAGTTCACGTGTATCTGACCAGTGAACAGAGGGAAATGCCTGAGAGCCTTAAAATCGCAGGTGTTCTGACTATTATGACCATTTCTCTTCCATCCGAGCATCAAGGATGTTCTAGGCCCCGTGCTAAGTGCTGTGAGAGACAGAGGGGAGACCATCAGGGTTCTTCCTGTTGCTCTTGGGAAAGTCTCTCATAGGCTCCGCGGACCATGTGCCGGGCTGTTTACACAGCAGGCCAGCCTCACCTCCCAAAGCCCCCCACGCCGTGTGCCTGGGTGACTGCCACCTGCCTACACTTCTCCACTCAGATGTCCTTCCAGAAGCGTTTCCTGGCATCCTCCCGCCCCTGCAAGACGGATTAAATGCTCTGACCTTGTGCTTCCACAGCCCTCTCTGCACCTCACCTTCAGGGCACGTCTTCAGCTCTGCAGCATTTGCCCCTTTGCTTGTCTGTGTCACAATGAGAGAGACCAGGACACATGATCAATGGAAGGCACTCAATGAATACTTGTTGAATGAAAGAAAAGATAAAAGATGACTGACCCCAACTAAAGGAGTGTGTCATCTCCACTGGGGAAATGACATGTCCACAACTAATTATAATGCAGAGAAGAGGACAGACAGCAGCTCACTCTGAAGGTTCAAGATGCAGAGAGATGATGGGCACCAGGAGGGGAAGGGGCCATCTGGAAAGGCTGCGTAAGAGAAGTGGGGTTTGACCTGGGAGCTCTGTGGGAGGCACACAGCCAGAGGGTGGCGTTCGCAGCAAGCACATAGGCCCGCCACAGCCCAGGGGTGGGGATGTGAAAGGGGGTACAGGGAGTGGCGAGTTCCCGGTTGGGGTGACCCGTAGGGTGTCTGCAGGTGGGGAAAGGGGGGTGGTGTGGAGAAGAGGCTGGAGCAGAGCAAGGAGGGGCTCGGTGGTGCCACGATGGGCATTCGTCAGCACAGTGTGGCTAGTCATCTTCCTCACGGTCACGTGACCCTTGTGACTGGGTTGTCAAACTTCCATTTTTGGTGCTAAATCCCTGCTTTGCTGCTTTCCTTCCCCTTAGTCACCTGTCCAGTCCTTCCTGCCACCTCCAACTCTGCAGATGTGCGAACACTTGCCTGTGACTTCCCACTCCTTGGTAGCCTCCCAAGCTGATGTCACACAGGTCCGTCCCTCATGTGTGTAGGTGTGTATTCTCTGAACAGCAGAAGGGGGTGAGCCAAGTTGGGGAGGGGTCTGGGGGAGGCGCGCTGTGCGGACAGGATGCTGGGCTCCAGCTCCCATCAGCCTGCGTGTCTTTGGATGAGTCACTTCCCTCCCCTGGCTCCCCAGTCCGTTAACAAAACAGTCAGACAAGAACAAGGGTTCTTTCTGTCTTTGCTGGTCTTGATTAGCTAAAAGTCCAATGTGAGTTTCAGTTGAAAGGAAAAGCAAGAACAAATGCAAAGTATGGCATTTATTATGGACTTGCGAACCTTCTCATTTGAAAAGTGAAAGTTTTCCCTTTTATTATTTGAGGGACAGCTTAATTGGACAAAAACATACATACAAAAACGCCCAAGAGTTAAGAATCATCAACCAAGTTCTTGGATTTGAGGGGCATCATTTTGGCCAAGCAAGTTTAGAACAACCAGTCCAGCTAGTGGAGGGGAAGCGCCTCTCGGAAACCTTCATGAGCATCAGCAGACACTCACTGAGCTTCCCCAACCAGGGCACTGTCTGCTGACCGACGCCCAGCCTTGGTTTCTGAGCTCCTACAATTGGTGAGAGCCTCATGGAATTTCTGAATTAAAAAGCATCTTTAAAGATCACCTATTTCAGTGACTCCTGACTTCTGGGTTATGGAACCTGTGGGAATCTGAGGTCAGCCAGGGATCCAGGCCAGCATCCAAAGTCCGAGTGAAGTTTCAAGAGAGCCACACTTGAGGCCACCTGGGAGCTCATGGACCCCAGATTAAGAGCCCAAATTGATTGGACTTCCATGATGAGATGAGAAAGCTGAGGTCTGAGGAAAGTGACGCACTTTTGTGATGTCAGTTTGGTTCCTAAAGGGAAGGAAGCCAGTCAAACAATAAAATCTGAAGGCGTGACATTTAAAAATAAAAATATTCAGGAAAGCTATGTGTCCTCAAAGCATCTGTCTGAGAAATGCAAGAACAAATCGCTTGGCGGCCTAGAGGAAGGAAAGCTACTCAACTGACGACAGAGTGATGTGCTTTGGTGGCTTGGGAACATCCCTTACCACGTGGGAACTAGGTTAGTTCCAGAGAGATAAGAACAAAGACGCAGGCCTGCTTTGGGCACAGACATCCGAACTAGAAGGAAAAGCTTGCAATGCACCTTGTGAGAACCAAAAGGAAATTTAAAATGTTAAGATATCCAACTAAGAATGGGAATCATTTCCCTTTGGCTCCCTCAGGAGGGAAATCTCTAAGTACCGACGGCATTTAACAATTTACAGGACATGGAGAGACACTGGCCAAAGTTCTTACAAAAATAACCAGCATCTCAGCATCTAAGATGGGGAACTAGGACCCACCGTTGAAGTGTCTCCCCCTGAAAAATGTTAGGAGAAGTGATAGACAGCAGACCCCCTAACTCCAGAGATCAGGGTGTAGTGGAATGCGCAGGACTTGGAGTCCCAGAGACCGGGGTTCAAATCCTGGCTCTTCAAATTCCCAACTCAGACATATTGGGTCTTAGTTTTGTAATATGAGGTACAT